TCATAATTACAACTGTCTGCCATTAAAACCTGCCTTTTAGTTGTCAGTAGTCTTTTAGTAGTCTTTGCTAATAGACCCTTTTCAGGATGTTGCTAAAGATGGACTGCTGCGCTCCAGCTAATGTAGCTCTGATTTTGTAGTAACATTAATGTGACTTTCAATAAATTTTGCTTGAATTAACCTTTTAAGTATGTCTCTCGGGTTTATTCTGCATTGTTGAAGTCTCTCAAGCCTTTTAGTAGAGTGATAAGTGGAGCTGTGAAAACTTCTAAGGAGCTGTGCTTGTGGATTCTTGGAAACTGGCTGCCTGAACCCTTGAATGCATGAGCCGTTTTCTAGTGCATAATCACACTTTTTTAGTTGTTCTGGAGAGTGAATGTTGCATAATGACGTCCCAGTGGTTCTGGCAATTGTATAGATGACTCTATAAGGCTAATGTATCTTCCCCAAGAACTCAAATTGCATTTAAGGACTCTGATAGCAACTTGGCATATTAAAACGAGAACTGATGCTGCTTTCTGAGCATCATCATAACAGATCACTCACATTAATTCCTGTGCAGAGTAATCTATCTTCAACCTCTCTCCCATTATTTCCTCACTGCTCACGCCACTTTCCTCTTCATGGTGATGGCCATCAAGAGGTTGCATGTGGAATAATTATAGCCGGTGTCTCAATGGGAGGAAATGAACTGCAGCACTGAAAATAACACTTTGTGCGCTGAAAGCAGGGAACAAAATGCATCCACACTGGCGTAATTATGATAATAATAACAGCATTAATAACAGTAATTAACAATTGCTGGCTTGAGGGAGGCACAAGAATGGGTTCTTGGTTTTGTCAGATGGATGAGTGCATCAAAAGAGGATAAGGCTAGGAGATCAAGTGGTGCATTGCAGATGAATTGTCAATGCTTGAGTAGATGTTTTTTTCCCCCCGTCTGGCATCTGGAAATGAGAAGAGAGTAAAATAACAGTATTGAAGTTCTTGAGAAGAAGCTAGAGAACCTGGTTATTTACTGATGTACTCATGAAGGAATAGTTTACCCAAAAATACAAATTTACTTGCACTCAAGGGAAATTTTACATCACGTTCTGACAGCACCCATTCACTGCAGAGGATCCAGTAATGCTAAATTTCTCAAAACTTCTTCAGCTAAAAAAACAAAATCATCTGCATCTTGGATGACCTGAGGGTGAGTGTATTTTCAGCAATTTTTGGGGGAACTATTGCTTTAATACTGAGGCAATGCAGTGAGCCAGCAAGGGCGAAAAGATCAAGTTTGATCGCAGTATAGAGAAAAATATAGTTTTTACCCCTCCCCAAGGTTTTGATGTTGTTCGAATTGACATTTAATGTTATGCAATTGTGCTTATTGGTGGACAGTTAGTGACTCAAGTATCAACATTTTCACATTATTATGCTGCTTCTCTGAAAGTATAATACAATATTAAAAGGCCAGAGCTGTTTGTTTGTGTCTAATAGAGGGGGGAATATGGCTCATTCCGGCTGCAGCTTAAAATGCAGTGTCTCTTATCTAAGTAATGAACCCAGTGCATCTATCTCTGTGGGGACTGTGTGGAGAAAAGTGTTTTCTCTACAACAGGGATTTGGAGGTTTTGTTAAATCTGGATGAAAACATATCAGTGTTGACCTAAGACTGGCGTCTTTGAAATAAACACCTTAAACGTCAAGAGAACACATTAAAAAGCTGCAGGGCATTCAGTTGCTTGTTTTGTTGCTAAAAAAAATGAATAAATAAATAAGCCCATTTTTTATCATCTATCATTCTGTACCCAGAACTTTTAATATGTGCAAGAGCAAAAAGCAATGTGCAAAAAAGAGGGTAAATGAACCTAACAAGATAATAAGGGTACAATTTGAACTGTAAATGATAGAAAATAGGTTCAAAATTACAGTGTTGGTTTTCTAGCACCTGTGCCCTCCAATTCTCCATAGACTAGCCAATTTTCTTGTTTTTGCATAACCTGCACAACTGTAAGGTGTTATAGAAACCTTCATCTTTAAGGTCAAAATATTGGAATCAATCAATGCAGAATTTATAATAAGTTGGTGCAAACGACATCCAAATTGTTAATGTTTTCATTTTACATTTCAGATATTGGTGTGCTGGCATTCATTCTTCTGAAGTTTACTAGAAGTGTAATAGCTATGCACTGCGCCTTGCCTTCCCATTATCCCTGAGGTAATGCACACCTACTCACCTCATCTTATTATCTTCTGACAAAAACCCATATGGTGTTATCACAGAACGAATCAGGCTGGGACTGCCATGCTCGGGACAGCAGAATGAATCCAATCTCGCCAATGAATATCATTGGGTGTCCCTGATTACTCACACAAATGCAATGCAAGAATGCAAGAGTGGATTCTGTCCTCACAAAGAAAATGGCTTTTCATATGCATCAACATGCCATTTCTTCTGGAAATATTCTGTTTGCACAAATGATTGAGAGATGTCTGTTGAATGATGAGTGAGGTTCTGCTGGCAGTTATGGAATGTGTCCCTGATGGATCGTCAGTAAGGACCTCGTGTGGATGATGAAAGAGTGACATTGAGAGTTATATTAATGAAATACCTCACAGGCTGCTGTATATCAGCAAAATCAAGAGTACAGAACATTTATTGCTACTATACTAATAGTATAGTTCAAATCTATTAACATTTACTGACATATCGCTTGAGATTTACTGATATAATAATTATAATTCAACTTTATTTGGAGTACTACTTGTGCACAATGCACATTTCTTAATATTAAGCCTAAAATGTGTTTTAATGTCACTACTGAGGAGGATTGTATGATTTTTGAATAATATCAGTGTTTAAATGCAAGATATTTAAAGTGTAGCTAAAGTATACTTGCCATAGTTACACTTTAGCACGATCAAATATACTTCAGTATATTTTTAGTTGGACTTCAGCCACACAATTGAAGTGCATTAAGCACAACATTAGTTGTTCCAATTTAGCAGACTTGAAGTATGCCAGTTTAGCATACTAAAAGTACAATTGCAAGGTATTTCTATTAGGTACATAAATATGTAAATGTATTTGTAGTATATGTAGCATGAAATACGTAAATGTATTCCAAATACATTTAAGTATATTTATTTTTCACTAGGGAAAGCACCCAGTTTTCCGTGTCACCAAGCAATACTTTGTTATGTTGTAAGACATTTTACAATAAAAAGTTGAATACAGACATTTGTTAAGATAAAAATTATATTTGCACACTTTCTGATTTTCTTTGTGGAATATGTAATATCCAGAATTAATGTGTTACATCTGTAGTTCCTCTGCCTGGACATCTGTGTGCACTGTAGGGCAACTTGATTCATGTCCATTATTAAAATAATTTGGTTAAAATTAATTGCAAAAATGGTTCATAAAAGTGGTGTTAGATCTGAGAAAAACTCAGATGTCACTTGCTTTGATATTTGGTTTTTAATGCAGTAGAATTAACACATTTGTTTGATTACAGTGCCCAAATAATTGTACTTGCAATCAAACCATATGTGTAGAAGAACAGCTTATGTGTGGCTTTTCTTTCTTCTTTTTTTTGGTTCCTGCAGTCTGTTGAGATTTAGTTTCCAAATTATGTTTAATTTAATGAGTTAAAGGTTCCAAATAGCTGTTAATCGACAAGCTTTCTACAGCCCAAAGACTATGAAATGACCATAACAGGTCTTTATGCAGGTAATTCTTTTATTAACAAGATTAGTCCGGGTCAGCAGGAATCGCAAATCCTGAATCCTGAAGGATGAGGTCATCAACCAACGAATTGTGAGTAACACAAGTTATCTTGAGTCTCTATTTGTTATTGATTGTGTGTGTGTGTGTGTGTGCTTTGATGGACACAGAGCATTGAGTTTGTGCACTCAGTTCAGCATCTGCTATAAATTGGATTTTTCTTAGTAGTCAATATATGTCAAAGCACGTCCTGACATTATCCTGTCATTTGTGTTCATGAAAAAAAATTACAAAAATAGCTCGAGGCCACAAAATTGTGTATCCCACACAAGTCACGGAGTCACAGAGCAAAAAAAAAAAGAAGAACAATTGGGTAGGTATTGCCAGTTATGAGATTTTTGTAGTCAACATTAGTTGACTAAGAATGTGATGCTAAATATATTCTTACAATATACATGTTTTAAATATCAAGCGTAGCATTAGTTCTGGCAGGTCACGTTAGTCAGGCTCGCATCAGCTGACTCTCAGCTGATCCCCATCTACCTATGGGAATACGACACCTATCTAAGCATTCATTTATAACAGTGATGGGCAAACTTGGCCCTTCCAGGCCACTTTCCTGCAGAGATTTGATCCAACCCTGATAAAACTCACCTGCCTGTAGCTTTCTAGTAGTCTTGAAGACAATGATTAGCTGGTTCAGGTGTGTTTGATTAGAGTTGGAGCTAAACTCTGAAGGAAAGTGACCTAGAAGGGCCAAGTTTGCCCACCACTGATATATAAGGTCCCTCAGTATTATCAGCAGTTTTCGCATTGCTCAATAGCTAATTACCCTCCTCCATCCCCAACTCCTCCTCTGTCAGTCGGGATTCAGCCTTCTGATTCTCCTTTGAATCAGACTAATTCTAAAAAGTGTACATAAAATTATTGAACTTTAACAATATCTGCAATACATTTATGTTGTTTCTTTTCTGTTTACCCTGGGGGATTATTGCTGCTCCCTGCTCTCATCCATGCTAGGCTGCATGGATGCGCAGGGAGTTCTTGCCCAGAACAGAACCATACCACCAATCCAAACTGTATGCTAATTGTCAATCATCTTTGATGATAGTGGTCCTGACAGAATGATTGAATATGGCCAACTCAAACAAAAGACTTAATGAAAGTCAGTGTATGACTCGACTTTTTCCATCATTCTGACACAACCTATTTAAAATGTTAGGGTTTATGTAGGGATACTCTTCCTTACGGAGTGAATAGTCAGGTTAAATGAACAGATGTGGACATGGGAGTGCACAGTGAGTCAGTAATATCCCTTAACACAGCTCTCAGTGGTCCATTTCCCTGAGTCCCAGTTATCTACTTATCGACCTTGTCACCAGTCCATAGCATTGACTCACACTTTGTGGATGTGTTAGCATGAGTGGGTGTGTCTGTGTGTGAGGGCTGATTAACTGGGAGAGGGTTACAGATTAATTCTCTAACATGTTCAGTTTTTGTCCCGTGTCCCATAGAGCTGTGCTCCTCAGTGATTTTCTGTATTGATGAGTCCTTTTTATTTGCTTTTCTCCTCTCCATCCATGCACTGCTACTGAGATCAGGTATGACTTTTACCAATCACATATTTTTATATATGAAAACAAAACTTTCTCAGTGTAGTAGCTCTTTTAAAAAAAAGGAAAATGGGACGATCCATTGAGCAGCATGAAACATGCTGTTAGGGTTATGTGACATTGCTGTAACTTATGCATGTTTTTATCTGCATTGGGTGTCTCCGCTGCCTGTGTAAATAATTGTTTGCACTTTTAGGCTTTATAACCTTGTGTTTTTGAGGTAAAATAGCATTGCTCAAATGTCATTTTACAGATATGGATTACTGTGGTTCAAGGAAGCTTTGAATGCAGTTTTTGTGTGTGTGTGATCTTTTTACAATGTTACAAAAGATTTGTATTCTATTTCAAAAAATCTATCACACTTCCCACAAAAAATATTAAGCAGCACTGTTTTAAACCTTGATAATAAGAGCTGTTTCTTGAGCACCAAATCAGCATATTAGAATGATATGTGACACTGAAGACTGGAGTAATGGTTGCTGAAAATTCAGCTTTGCAGGAAATAAATTAAAATAGAAAGCACTTATTTTAAATAGTTTATTTAAATTACTGTATTTTTGATTAAATAAATGCAGCCATGAAGACTTCTTTTAAAACTATTAAACATTCTTACCAAGCACAAATGTTTGAATTGGAGTGTGTGTAGAATAAAATTTAGAAGTAGGAGCCAAACAATTAAAAATAAGCGATGACATTTATCTGTACTCATTTTAATGCATGTGTCACAAAGCAAGACCAGACACAACAGGTAAGTGCAAAACAGGATGGTTTATTGACTGGTTAAGCATAAGAATGGAACGGGTGAGGTAAAGGCTGGTGAGTGTCAACACAGTGAATGATTCCAGGGTTCTTATCTGAGTTCAGATGATGTGTGTCTTATGCCGGTTTCGTGGAGATCGTGCAACAGATTCCAACAGAGTCGTTGGAGGATCGCGGGAGGAACAGAGGGTAAGTCTTTCTAGGAGAATTCAGTAGAGAGAGTCCAGAACAGTCCATAGGAGTGAACGGTAGACCGGACAGTGAGTGACTGTGATGTGTGTGTATTTGTAGTGTGGCTTGATTGGTGACAGCAGGGGCGGGTGATCAGAATTCAGATGACTGTGATCGGGTGATTATCCTGGATGGTGACTGAAGTGACTGTGATGAATCCCTGACAGCATGAGATAATCTGCAGATTTGATAAACAAAACACTTATTATTACTGAATCAGATTTCATTTAATATGATGAATGTATTCATGTTTTTTTTTCTTTTGCTTTACATCCTATTTAAGGGGTCGGTCCTGTGAGCAGGACCTATTGCATGCATTTTAATCACTGCTAGGTTTAGTTAGATGTTTATTTTAATAGCTGCATCCAATGAAAAGTAAAATTCCTGTTCCTGGTGAATTAACACTGACAATACTATAATCTGAGTGTTGCTCCTAAACTAATGAGCAATTGAGAGAGTGTGAAGGAAAATTTCCAGTTAACTTTTGTCAGTGTGGGTATGTTTAGACAAAAGGCGTAACGTGGGAGAGAGAGTTGGTCGCAGTAAATCGCAGTTAGCAAAAAGAAAGTAGAGTGACACATGCAGGAAGAGAGAGAGGACACTGGACCAGTGCTGTAAGTGGGTTGAGTACAAATGGGGACCCATTGATTGAGCCTGTGAGTGAAAATGGCCAACAGCGTTTCTCTTTTTCCCCCTTTCACCATTGTTCTCTCTCTCTTGCTCTGCTGGCCATCGAGTGTGAAGGACACCAATGTGACAGCTATTTATCCCGTTTGGAACCCAACAGAGCTAATGAAATGCTGCACCATGCTTTCTTATTATGATCTACAAGTTTATGCTTCCTCACTTGAGCAAGTTTATAGCTATAGTTCTGAGCTGGAACTATAGAGCAATCCTATGAATAAATGTTACAGAAGAAAAATATCATTATGATGCATAATATATTAGCTGCATTATAACTTTAGATGACCTCAGTGAATAAAAATGATCATGTTGCTTTTAATGGTGCACACATTTATCTATATACCATTCAAAAGATTGGGGTTGCTTATGTTTTTTAATGTTTTTGAAATATATATATTTATTTGATCAAAAATACAGTGCAATATTATTACAATTTACAAAACAACTTAATTTTCCTTTTAATATATTATAAAATGTTTTTTATTCCTGTGATGCAAAGCTGAATATTCAGCAGCCATTATTATAGTCTTCGGTCATATGTCACATGATCCTTCAGAAATCATTGTAATATGCTGATTTTCACATTTTCACATATTTGGTATTACACTCTTTTAAAAATAAAGGTGCTTCACGATGCCATAGACAAACCTGTTTGTCTAAATGGTTCCATTGAACCTTTAACATCTGAAGAACCTTTTTGTTTCACAAAAGGTTCTTTGTGGTGAAAGAAGGTTCTACAGTTTATAAAAAGGTAAGAAAGAGATGGTTCTTTAAAGAACCTTTGACTGAATGGTTCATTGTGGAACCAAAAATGGTTCTTCTATGGCACTGCTGTGAAGAAACCTTTCAAGCACCTTTATTTTTAAGAGTGTATCAGTGTTGAAAAGAGTTTTTTATTAATTGAATGAATTTTTATGAATATAAAGTTCAATAGAAGAGCATTTATTTTAAATAAATCTTATGTAACGTTATAAATGTATTTACTGTCACTTTTGATCAGTCTACTATTCACGATTTGAAAGGCACCATTGAAGAAATAAAGTGTCACACACATCCAGCCATTTTGCCATCTCAAAGAGATACAACAGGAGACACTGCACAAAGCACATTATGTCCAAATTAGTGAGGTTATTACTGTACCAGCAGCTAAAAATATTTTCCCTCTCACGTTCACAATTAACCAGACAGTTTTTACTCCTCCACTTCACATCTCATAAAACATACTGTACAATAAGATGAGGGATAATTATAGTTGTAATTGCAAAAGTAAGTTCCCTGAGGGACAAAATAATGTATAAAAATGAATCTTGGGGGTGTTCTCTATCTTACATACAATAATATTCAAAAGGTCTGTACATGTTTGTTTTTTTTGAGTAAAATCATAATATTACAAAATATGATTAGAATTTTAAATACATGTTTTCTGTTGTAATATATTTAAACATTTATTTAAGTAATTTATTCCTGTGAAGGCAAAGCTGAATTTTCAGCATCCATTACTCCAGTCTTCAGTGACATATGATCCTTCAGAAAACATTCTAATATGCTGATTTGGTGCTCATCAAACATTTCTTCTTATTATTAATATTGAAAACATATATTTGTGTGTAATTGTCTTTCAACAATTGCTTTGCTATAACAATTAGATTAATTATCAGTTGAGAGTAAACTTAAATAGTAGTTTCAAGTTTCAAGTTTACTTTATTTATATAGCACATTAAAAACAGCCACAAGACTGACCAAAGTGCTTCACAGTAAGAAACGGCATCATAAAATTGAGTAATACAAAAACTGCAACCAGAAAATTAAGACACAAATAGGAAATACAATTGGCAAGAATATAGTCCTAATAGGCCAATGAAAACAAATGGGTTTTTAAAAGAGACTTAAAAATAGACAGGCTACGGGCCGTTCTGATCTCCACTGGCAAGTCATTCCAAAGACGAGGCCCAATTACTGAGTAGCCTGAGCCTAGTAGGCCTATGATTTGCTTACGGCTAGATATTCTCTTTTAGTAAGTGTTTGTACTTGACAGAACTGGAAGCTTGAAGATATTATTGCAAATGAATATAGGCCATTTATCGATCCTACAATGTCAGTATTGAGGGATAATGTATCAATAGTTGAACCAGATCATGCCAATTTGGTCCCTTGGTCACATTTGCTTGATTGAGCAGACCATTTTCTATGGAGCGTGAAATTACTTTCCAAAATCAATGACATCCAAGACACTGAACAATATGTCATTAATCTTCTTACCAAAAAGTGTTCTGCCTTCCACAGACCATCAGCCTGTCTACATTGGTGTGCCAGTGCCCCGCGGTTACCGTCGCAAACGCAGGAGGAGACGTTCGTCCGTGTTGAGTCGTGATGCAGATGCCGAACGAAGACTTAGACACGACCATCACAGACACGAACACTACGATTGTGATGACAGAGACCGCTACGATCTGGAGGCGGGAGGTCTGGATCAACCAGAGCACAATCTGCCTTCAGACATCAACAGAACCAGTGAGTCCTTAATCAGCTCCGAAACAGAGCTGAAGTCATTACAATTAGTGATTTGTAAGTGTTTCCTTTATTGCATCATATGATTGAGCTGGTTGTAAACTTAAACCTTTACCAACACAGAACTTTCCACATACTTCTTTATTGCCAATATGGTGATCCAACAGACTTGTGATCCCAAAAAAAACAAAAAAAAACAGGTAGAATCAAAATGGATTCTATGCATATAGGTGCAAGAGATGGGTAACGGTTAAATTCAAATACCCTGTGAGGCAATAGACTCAAGGAAATGCATCTGAAAGTTAGAATGCAAATTCAAGGGGACTACAGGGAGCAATACCGCCATACATTTCTTTGTTTGTGTGTGTGAAATGGAGTTGTGCTGAGTTTATCGGATATACCCCACACCCTCACTCTCAATCTCGTGCTGAGCCGAGGGCAGGATAGAGCCGTCACTGCAGAATGGAAGACCATGAAAAACAATTATGGTGATGCATCTCTAAACGCATGAGAATAAACAACTTGCGGTGCATCAAAGTTTGCATTCAGCACAGAACAGAGAAATAAGCACACGTTCAAAGAAAATGCACTTTCATTTGTTACTTTTATGCTATATTAGCCTAATAACTAATAAACTTGTCATCTATAAAATAGGCCATATTTGAGGTCAAAACAACATACCATGCTACATTGTATTATTTATGAGTTCTGATTTATAAGTTACGTTCAGAATAGAGCTGATCAGTAATCCTAAAACCCAGAAGAGATTTAAAAATTAGCCATGGATTTTCTAGGGAATTTCCTAAGGGTTTTTAGAGAGGATGTTTTTGATTTATGAGGAAAATAAGCTCTTTTATGGTATACAGTCATACCTCAAACATGAATTTTAATGGATGTGTTTTTAGATGCTAGCAGGTGTTATTTTGATATTTATAGTAGTTGTTCATATTTTCAATTAGCTTTTATTTGTATATTTTCAGTTTGTATTTTAATTTTAGTTTAGGTTGTAGAATTTTTGTATGTTTACATAGATTTTTTTTTTTAATTAACCATTAACTAGCATTCACTATTCTTTTTTTATAAACAATTCCTTATTCTTTCTATCTACTTGTTATATATATATATAACAAGTATATATATATATATATATATATATATGCCTTATTTTTTAATCAATATTTAAAAACCACCGTCATTAAATCCATAGCAAATTAAGGCAACCCATGGCGAATTAGCCTTCATGATTGGCCTACAAATTAACATAATGACAAAGCAGCTCTATTATTGAAAACCTCCCATTTTTTCAGCATTATGACATAGCCTAAAAAATGCCATAAACTCCTTTGCTGCTGACATGAAAATCAATGTTATCTTCCTTCCCTCACTTATTCTCAGCTGTGAGTAATTACAACTCATCATATGCTGGAAAAAAAAAACAATAAGTAAAATTTACTTAATTTTTCTTTTGCAAGATTTTGTGCACACATATTTATTAAGTAAAATTTAAGTATGGAATTAAGTAAAATCTACTTAACTATGTTATGTAAAATTAGCAAAGGAAATAAGTCAATTTAACATGGTGGGTTAGAGTTTGATGAGTAATTTCTACTTAAGTTTACTCTGCAAATTACTCACAGTTTGAAAACTTTACTCAAAGAATGTAGCACTGAAAAAAAGCATGCTATTAAAGTATGTGGTTCACTTACAAACATGTAAGTAAGCAACAGCATGTTATCCTTTTTAAGATAGTAAGTCTACTCAACATAGTTATTACTTGAATGAACACAGAGACCTCAATACTTAGTAGAAAATGAACTCCAGATGTCACAAAACAGCAAGTTACTAAACCATAAAACACTGTAAATACAACTCGAAAACAATGTAAAATGTAAACTTATTAAGTATTCATGCCCCAGTATGATGGGAACAATGGGATCATAACTTTGATATTTACTTAGAGATTCCTTGTAAACATAATCAGTGTGAACACTTTTTATTCTTGCCTGAACTAAATTATTTAATGTAGAAATTACATTGTTTTTCTGTAGTATTTACTTCACTACAAAATCATTTTTATCAGTGCACTGCAGCTTCAATAGACATACCACCATTTGTTAGAGTAAATATTTAAAAATAAATCTTTCATTACTGAAATCAATGCTGGATTAGGCATTAATGTACTTTTTAATAGTTTGGCATTCAACTTAATTTAGTCAACAGCTTCTTAACTAATCACGTGTTAACATTTCATATTGCTGAATTATGATAGTTGGAGTTTCCATGACAGCACCACATTTAGCATGTTTGCCTCTTGCCCTTTTAATAAAGCTGTCAGTTCCTTTGTCAGCCGTGTTTAATCAGTGTTTAATTGAACATGTTTCTCTTCACATAGAGTATAATGGACTGGAGGTTTAAGGACCTTTCTCTCACATGTAAAGTTTGACTTTCATGCATGTTTCTTGGGTCTTTATTATGCAGGCACCTCATTCCACGTGTCTTCTTGAGGTATATCTTTTAGTCTTCTGGAAGCCTGTGTGTGGCCTATTTGGATGGAGGAAGAAACAGGCCAAGACGATCAAACCATAGTTGGAAATAAAGATGTACCTAACAGGTGTTAGAGCTGAGAAATGCTGAGCATTGAAATGAAAACAAATAAAGAACAGAACGACCCAGACGTTGCCACGTACTCCCTGGCATCACCTCAAACAAGCCCAGAAAAACAAGCACAGTGTGGATTCTCGTGCAGCTTCAGTCACAGCTCACAGCTTTAGTCCTCACACTGAAAATTAATGAACAATGGCTTACACTGCGCCGGTGTTCCTCCAGGCACAGTCAGCCATCACAACACCGGATCAAATAAACCCAGTGGGTGTCCTTGTTGTTTCTTCTCAACTTTTGGGCACATAATTTCATTGCGTGTGGTGCTGCACTGCACTTTTTATTTATGAAGGTCATCTCATTCTGCTATCTGACTGAGGGAAATCCAAACAGGCAAGTTTTCAATCACTTCTCTTCCTGTTCACCTCGCAGTTTCCCCAGCAGCAGAGCGACTGCGCTACATTTTGGGGGATGATGAGGAAACCATGCCCACACCCACTCTCTTCACCGAGATGGACACGCTGCAACACGAGGGTGACGAGCTGGAGTGGAGAGAATCAGCTAGGTAGAAAAACATACACACAAAGGCATCACCTATTGGAAATTTTAAATATGTATTTTATGATATTAAAATACTCCTGCCTCAGTTTAATATGCATCAGAGATTGTTAATGAACCATTAGTATGATTCATTGCTGAGCTCTGTAGCCATAAAGCTACCATGCAGGGATACTATTTTTTACTAAAATTAAAACTTTAACTGTTATAAACATATTAATTGAAATAAGGCTGAAATATAAATATTAGATTAAAAAAAACTTTAACTAAATGACAATTAAAAATGTTGCCTAGGCAACTAACTGAAATAAGTTTAAGAAATAAAATGAAGTTGAAGAGCTAAAATTAAAACTAAAAAGTGTAAGTAAAAACTAAAACTGAACTAAAATTAAAACCAAATTACACATTACTTAACCTGAATATAAATATTAAAAAAATTTGTCACAAACAAAATTGAAACTAAACATGCAATAAAAAGTAAAAATAAAAAGCCTATTTTAAAATATTAATCACACTACATAAATGATACTAAAATACTACTACTACTAATTAGTTATAGCAAATATACTGAGGTGTACCAAATGAATCAAAAAGGGAAGAATGTGATATTTATGCTTATTTCATCAGACTGCACATATATTTGTCATTTTTAACATTTATATACAGTGCTTTTTGCCCACAAAATTTTGTATAACAACAGGGACATGCTAACCAGCAACACAACAACCCCTTGGCTCATAAAAACCCATAAAAAGCTGTTTTTGATATTATCATTTTCACGAACAATGGCATTTGTTTAGAAATAATCATTATTTTTGTATTACCATTTGTTGCCTCTATAGTGCATAGATCCTCAAACCAGAGCCCTCATTTATCAAGAGTGCGTAGAAAAGGTTCTATATTTTGAACTACGAATGAAATTTAGAATGTGTGTAAGTACAAAAAAAATCCGGATTTATCAAACGTGTGCACGCGGTTCTTACGCACACCAGTAAATATTCATTGTTGATAAATCCCACGTTCTTAAGCACCATGCTCGTTCAAATTCATGGTCATTTGCATTCAGAAACGCCTCCAATGAACCATTTATGGTGGCAGCACCTCCCTTTATTATCACGTGAATGTATACGTCCTCACCGAAGTCATGGCAAAGAAAGAGGTAACGACTGACAAGCCATTCTGTGCTCTCATTAAACAGATCAGCGTGCTCTTTTAAAATGTGTTCTCTGCGCAGCACATGGTTTGCCAAATCTTCCAACAAAGCGAGATCAGCCATGACCATATAGCTATAAATCGACCTCCCAACTGTCTTTTATAGCTTTTCACACTAATTGTGCAAATGTTTAGCTTGAAATATAAAATTTTTAATTGAGTATTTACAATTAAAGGACACAGCACACATGCAGCGAGTATGATAGTGATTTTACCTGACTAGTACTCATTCACACTTTCACATGTGCTGCTGATATTAGTCAGTCAATGTTAGCTGGTCATTTTGTGTCATGATCAAAAAACAGTGATTTTTTTTTTTGTGAAAAGTTCATGTTTTGGCCAATGAAGCTTTTAGCAATTATTTAAAATGCATCTGATCAACACAATAATCTAGAAACAATGTGAATGAACACCACAACAGCTTAAGCAGCACACTGCAAAACACACAATTTATGTCACTGCCAAAACTTTTGGCCATGACTGTATATGCTAGTATGTTCATATGAATAGGTCACTGTGATTATATGTGGCTCTGCTGATCTGATGAACCATGCTTTGCCGTGGCCTGGTGTCTGGGTCAGTATTGATCTGCCATTGGGGAAACGTGCCATCTGACTGTGTGGTCCTTGTGCTAGGCTCTCACATGCAGAGGGATATCCGGGAGCTGTTGCCTGATCCCTCTGGAAAATGGTGTCATTGTCTCAGTTTGGTCTATGGGTGCACAATGTACAAGGCTATAGGGTCATTCCGTCAGAGGTCCCTGGCTCAAATTTTAAATTTTGCTATATTTTTTCTGAAGAAATATTGACATGTATAGATGAAAAGGATGAAATTGGATGAAAGCCAAAATATTAAATGTCATGGATGAATATTTACTGAGTAATCCACTATTTTGTAGAGAGGGCTCAAAATGGCAATTTTCACCTGAGCTTCAGAGCCAGATTACAAGGGGGTAAAAATGTACCCCAATGTAATATCAAGAAATAGTAAAGATATTTTAATGCCTGAGCCGGGGAAATTTCTGAAATTTGATTGATTTGAAACGGAATGACCCTATAGCCATATGTCACAAACACTCATTTATAACTGTCCTGCTTTCGTTCACTTAGATATATTATAACAGCAAGTTTTCATGAGCAAAAAGCTCTCATTAGCTGGACTAAAACAACATGATTTTGACCCTAAGACTAGACAGAGAATCCTAAACACACACAGTTTTACAGTTAATTTACAATTAGATATCAAACAGCACTTTTTCATTTTTTTAAATTGTAATGTTATTGGACATTAGTACTGTTTTTACTGTATTTTTGATCAAATTAATGTAGCCTTGGTAAGCATAAGTGGTTTCCTTCAAACCCACACAGACAAAACTTTCAAATGATAGTGTAAATCTTTAAAAAAATAACTGAACATTTATATCTAGACTTTCCCATTTAAAACTAAGCCTGATTATAGAAATAGGAAAACCTAATTTCACACCCTGAAAAGGTGTGCTTCCAAAACTATTTCAAGTTGTTTATAGAGATAGGAAAATGTAAAGCATTGCTTGGAGGAACTCCAAACTGTTATCCAAAGGTTTTTGGAATAGGCCAAAGTAGAAACACATTGAGCTTTGTCTACCAGATAAACCAGCGTAGCCTTTCTGAACTCTATTCTTGCGCATGTCTGACATACAACGTGACGATGAGACAAAATCCTTCTACATGAACATTGTAACACCGGGGGACTTGCTTTACCAGAGAGAGAGACAGGAGGAAAGCAGACAGATTAATCCAGACTGCTACTTATTCAAGGGCTTCAGATAGAATCGTTCTGTCTTCAAATTGATAAAGGCTGCAGACGTTTTAGTAATAGAGCTTAAAGGTGGGGTAAGCTATTTCTGGTAGCCAATGTTGACATTTGAAATCACCAAAACAAACACGCCCCTACCCCAAAAGGGTCTCACCCCTATTTTGATAGCTCCACCCCACACATACGTACGCAACCCAGGCAACGATTAGTTCTGTGAAACAAAGCAAAACCAATGTTACACCGTGTCTACACCGGACGCGAGCAGCGCAACAAAATACTATAGAACTAATTATAATCAGTGATGCTGTCTACACCATACATATACATATACATATACATACATATACATACATATCCATGGTCTACACTGGATGCGGCGCAGCACGACACGACAAATCCCAGACTGAAAACTGTGTTCTATTTATGACATATTGACACAAATTTCAAATGATTTTCAACTGTCACTTTGTCACGTCCAGTGTACTAGACAGACTTTAGCTGTTGCGGCGCAGACACAGTGTTACTCACCTATCAAGAAAAAACAAAGCAACCTCGGCGTCCGATCGCAGGCATTCCGCTCCTTGAGTTCTCTCCAGCCGATATTTACACGGGTCCTACTTCTTGCCTTATTGCCTTAAGCCTTCTTTTGTTCCGCAGACGTTTTCCGCTTTTGTTTTTTATCCGCCATCTCTATGATGGAACAAAAGGGTTAAATGATAGTATAAGCATTCTATGATAGAACAGAAGGGTTACATGACAACATGCGGGTTCTGTGATGGAATAGTATGGTTAAAGGTAACATAAGAGCAGAGGCGGACAGTAACTAAGTACATTTACTTGAGTATTGTACTTAAGTACACTTTTTGAGTATCTGTACTTTACTTGAGTATTATTTTTTCTGGGAACTTATGACTTTAACTTCACTACATTTGAAAGACAAATATTGTACTTTTCACTCCACTACATTTCTATCAAGGTCCTCGAAGTAGAAAGTCGTTACTATGTAGCAGCTTTGAAAGTCAGTGGGTGATTTTTTTGTTTCTCTAAAACTTGACTTTCTTTTTTTTCAGACAGTTTATCAGTAATCACTCTTGTAGGGCTACATGAA